AGCTGAAATAAACATACACACGCCTGCTGGTATACATAGGCAAGGCTTTTCTAGGGCAGACAGCAAGAAGTAAACATACTGGGGGCTGCCCGGTGGCATAGTGGTTAACTTCACACTCCACTTCGGCAGCCTGGGGTTTGCAGGTTCGGATCCCGGGCACGGACCTACACACCGCTTGTCAAGCCATGCTGTGGCAGGCGTCCCACATATAAAGTAGGGGAAGATGGGCACAGATGTTATCCCAGGGCCAATCTTTCTCAGCAAAAAGAGGAGGATTGGCAATGGATGCTAGCTCAGGACTAATCTTCCTCACCAAAAAATAAAAAATACAAAAAAAGAAGTAAACACACTGGATCACAGGATATGCTCATTTAAAATTGGAGAGACATGCTAAAGCACTCTCCAAAGGAGCTGTACTAATGTAGCTGTACTAATTTATATCCCCTCCAGGAGTCATGAGGGAACCTACGTCCCCCCAACCCTCACCATGTAAGTGTCTGTCTCCCTCCTTCTAGCAAAGTACACAAACTTTTTTTTTTTTTTTGGTGAGGAAGATTGGCCCTGAGCTAACATCCATTGCCAATCTTCCTCTTTTTGCTTGAGGAAGATGGTCCCTGAGCTGACATCTGTGCCAATCTTCCTCTACTTTGTACATGGGACGCCGCCACAGCATGGCTTGATGAGCGGTGTGCAGGTCTGCGCTGGGGATACGAACCTGCGAACCCTGGACCGTGGAAGCAGAGGGTGCAAACCTAACCACTACGCCACTGGGCCAGCCCCCAAAGTATACGAACTTTAAATGCCTGACAAATAGACCACCAAAAAAAACAGCCCCTTGCTGTTAGTTTGCTCTTCCCTAACTGCTGGTAAGGTTGAGCATCATTCTATAAGCTCATTGGCCACAGGTATCTCCTCTCTGGAGAACTGTGTTTCCACCCTTAACCCAGACCCATTTACCAGAGCCCCTCTACCACCGGTCAATGCCTCACTCTCTCTTGGTCACTCACGTACCTTCTCCTGAATCTGGCCCCCAATGTTTCGCAGGGCCTCCTGGAAAACTTTGTTCTTGGGCTCCAGGCTCACACATCTCTGCAGGTCAAGGACAGCCTGGTCGAGGCGGCCCAGCTTCTCGAGGGCTTGGCTGCGCCGGTAAAGTGCTTTGACATCCCCACCGTCCTTTTCAATGGCTGAGCACAAACGGGAGCTCTGTCAGCAACCATGAAGCCACCATCTCCAGGCAAGAGCAGTAGGGAAAGATCTCGAGGGCCAGAGGAAGGTGGGGGGACGAATGTGGGGCTCAGTACTCCAGCCCCAGAAAGGGTGAGGGTAGCTGCAGAAAAGGAAATGCCCGAGGAAGTGGGAAAGAAAGAAGGCAGATGTGTTTCAGAGGCGAAAAGAAAAGGCGAATGTGAAGGTGCGGAGGTCCCAGAGTCCTTGTCTACCATAGAAGCCCCCAGCTCCCCTAGAGGGCCCGCAGTCCCCTACCTTTGGATGCCTCCGTTTCCGCCTTGTCGTAATCTTCCTGTAAGAGAAGGCACAGGAGCCTGAGAGGCTGGCCATTTCCTTTTCCGGGCACTAACCGGACAGCAGGGTTGTTCTCCAGTCATCCGATCCCCCCCCCCCAGAAGCCCAAAGACGTCTGACGAGTGTGGGTGGCCTGGGAAGGTGAATGCCCTGCCAGAGCCCAAGCAGCAGCGAGATGGGCAAACCGGGGCCAGCAGGCAGGAGAAGAGCAGCCGCTCCCTCACCAGCTTGAGGTGGCAGGCGGCCCGATTCCGGTGCAGAATGGCCTGGTCCTGCGGCGTCGCGCCCAACCCCAGGGCCTGGGTGTAGGCCGTCAGGGCGCCTTCGTAGTCCCCGCATTTGAACAGCTCGTTGCCCTCCTTCCGCAGCTGCTCCACTGAGCTGGCCTGTGGAGGGAAGGGGTGGAGACGTCGCAGATGGGCTCAGGGCAGAGCCGAGGAGCTAGGGGGAGAGGAGGCTGCAGGTCGGGGGCGAGTCCCACTGAGAGCAAAGATTGAGGGCGAAGGAGGCCCAGGAATGGTCAGAGTTGGTGCGAAGTGGTGATGTCGCGGGGGTATGGGTACGCAGCCCGGGGACAACGGGCCGGGGCTCGGGGGACCCTGCACCACTCACAGTCATCGCGGCGCAGACGTCCCGGGCTCGCGCAGGCGCAGTCTCCGGGGCGGGGTGGGTCTAGGCTCTGGAATCTGCAGTCGCTGCCCCGCCCTAGTCCACCGTCAGAGGCGGGGGCAGAGAAGGGGCGGGGCCATGGTGGGGCGGGGCGGGGCCAAGACGGGAGCGCACCTGGGGAGGGGCGGGGCGCTCCGCCCGGGTGCGCAGGCGCAGAGAAGCCCCGGGCACGCCTAGTCTGTTCCCTCCGAGACCTGCAGGGGGCAGGCGGCGGAGGACCCCGAGGGAGGCCCGCGGCGGCCCCGGCCCCGACCGCGGCAGAAGTGCGCGAGGTCTGCGGTGATCAAGCCCACCAGCAGCAGGCTGTAGAGGCCCAGCGCGAGGAGCGGGCCCGGGCCCCTGTGGGAAAGGCGAGAGCATCAGGACGCTGGCCCGCCGCGCTCTCGCTGCTGCAGCCCGTGGGTTACAGAGCCCCGGCGAGTCCGGAGGAAGCTCGGGAGCCCCTCCTCTGATAAATGTAGAATTTGTTAAATACAAAGTCAGGGGACTCACAGGTACCCTGAGGCTATCTGGACAGATTCAGGATTGAAAACCCCGACTATGTGTGTAATCCACAGACTGCAAGATCCTCCGTAGTCTTGACACCTGCCCCACCCCGCCCCGCCCCCGTGCCACAACACAGGCAATGGCTCCCTGTTACCCCCTTTCACAGTCCCCTGAACTTTTCCTTCACAGAATTGTTTGTAATCATGTATTTACGTGAGTTTCTGTTTGAGGTCTGTCCCTCCACTAGTCTATAAGCTAAAAGCGTCCCAGCCCAGCACTTAGGAACAGAGCCCCAGATACGGAAACACCCTGCCAGTGTTCCAGCGGCTCTGGGGCTGGAGTTCTCACCTGAGCACGGGCGGAGGCGGAAGGGAGGACAGGTTGACTTGGTACAGGGCCTCAAATTCAGCCCGGGTGCAGCAGGAGCCCCCTGCAGCCTGCAGGTGGCAGCAATACGCTTCCTCCGGAGTATCAGAGAGCCGAGGACAGAAGAAACCAGGGTAGTGGCGGCCATTGGCATCCCGAGAGGTCTGGCACAAGTGAGGGTAGCGGGCCAGCGCTGAGGGGATGGGTAATGGGGCTGGAGACAGGCAGGAATGGTCTACGCACACCCCACTCCACCCCTTCGGGAGAGTGAAAGGGATCAGCCATTATCAGAAGGGCAGGCTCCCTTCCTCCCGACCAGCTTCCCAGAGTAGCCCATGCCCTACTGACAGAGTAGGGGACCTGAAGCGGGGGCTGGGGGCAGAGGAGAGTGCTGTACCTGAGAGAGAGGTGGGCTGGGCAAGGGTCATCCAGCTGAAGAGCAGCAGTAGCCCCATAGACAGGCCTGTCAGCAAAGGGCCCTGCCTCCTCTGGAAGCCCATGAGAGGTCACCTCCACCTCAGCACTGGTCCTAGGAACCCCAATATCTCTCTTCCTAAGCCATGGCTGCAGACAGTAAGGAAAGAAAAATCAAGGCCCCTGGGCACCATTAACACAAACCCAAAGCTACTCCATCACAGACCTCCAGAGAGCCATGAAAGTGATTGAGTTTCTATCTTCTGTTGGAAAATGCGGACAGTGGCTCCAAGCTGCCTAAGATTTTCTGAGCTGAAGGGGAAAAGGCTCGGAAGACTACAGGACGGAATGAGGGAAGAGAGAGAAGTTGAGCCATTATCCTGAAGAACAGGTAAGCATTTAGAGCCAACTGTGTTTCTCTCCACCCACTCTCGACTTTCAGGCTGCTGTGGAAGCCCTGGGAATTCTGATTGCTCCATTTCAGGCCCCAGAGACCTGAGTTCAAGCGTTTGGAGCTTCCGTCCCTAACCTCTGCATCATGGCAACCACCAAGACTAGATGAAAACCAGGGGCAAGTCCTTTTGTTAACTTTTCCCCTGAGTCCTCATCTGCCCCAGCTACCAGCCAAAGCACAGAAGCTACCCATCTGATTGGAGTATACTTAGCAACTAATGAACCCCATTTCACTGGGAATGCTCTTCTGGGGTCTCCAGGTCTCTCTGACCCCTCATACCTCATGGCTGCCATCCACTGAGACAGAGAATTAATCCAAAAGGCCAGAGGCCACCAGCCAGCAGTGTTGTGTTGTTCTAGTGCCTACGGAGGCCTGACAACATCAGAATCCCAGAACACCAGTAGCAACACTCATCACCCCAGGGGCCCACGGCAGGTGCCTGGGGACTGAAGCAGGAACCTCTATGGCACAAGAAAGAAATTTTGTCCCAGCACCTGAGAGCAAAGAAGATGGTTCTTGCAGAAATATCACTGCCACCTGGGAGCCTAAATCTAAAGTACTTAGGCAGGGCTCCCAGTGTAGGCTCCAATTTCTAGAAGGTCTGGGCCCAAAAGTGAGGCTGCTATGCCCAGAGCAACCAGGCCCATCCCTGCAGGGAGAACTATTTTTTAGAGCACTTTGAGAATTTTCAGACAGGTTGAAGATTGTGTTTTTGTGTTTGTTTGTTTGTTTTTTCCCCTCCTGAGAGAAGCTGTCTCTGACCCAGAGCCTAGGTGAATTGCCCTTCCTCCATGGTAACACAGTCCCCGGTGCCTTCCTGCCTTGGACTCAGCACACTATGAGGCCACTGTCTTATTTCTTGTCTGTCTTCCTTCTTCCTTCAGACCGTGGGCTCCTAGAAAGCCAGGCCATGTTCTTCTTGCACCCCCAGCAGAGCGCACCGAACCAGGGCCTGCGATGCTGAGGACAGCTCCCCAACACTAGTTTCTCTCTCTGCCAGGAGTGTCAGCCCTAGAGGAACGCATCTGGACCAGACCCCACAATGCCCGGGCCTCCGCGGCGCCAGGGGGCGCTGTGGACGCTCGGTCAGGGCTCCCCGGGCTCCTGGGACGGCAGTTGCCCGCCCAATTCGTGCAATGGGCTCCGAGGCGGCACGGCTGCTGGAGGCTGCAGACTTCGCGGCTCGCAAGCACGGACAGCAGCGGCGGAAGGACCCCGAAGGGACCCCCTACATCAACCACCCTATCGGTGGGCGCGCCGCCCGTGCAGCAACCGCAGCGGCGTCTAGGGGGTGGGGAACGGGAAGGGAACGTGGAGGGCTCGCACCTCACTGAGGACCTAACCTACCGTGTATCAAGCTTGTGCCACTCTTCGTGTTTAAACCTCATAACATCCCTAGGCGGTAGGCGTGATTGTTCTCTTTGTACAGTTGACACCCAAAGAGAGTAAAGGACTTGTCCAAGGTCACCCAGCTAGTGAGGGGCAACATCTAGCTCTACAAAACCCACAACACGCCGCCCTGGGAGTCCCTCCGATCTGACTTCTTGCTTTGCCCCGTCAGGTGTGGCTCGGATCCTGACCCATGAGGCGGGAGTCACTGACATTGTGGTGTTACAGGTAACTTCCTCCTTCTCTTCTAGGAGGCGGGGTGGGGATCAGGGGCGCCATTCAGCTCGGGGCACCCATTGGCTGGCGGCGACACGGGGCTGAGTGGAAGCCTGTCCCCAGGCAGCCCTGCTCCATGACACCGTGGAGGACACGGACACCACCCTGGATGAGGTGGAGCTGCACTTTGGGGCGCAAGTGCGCCGTCTGGTGGAGGAGGTAACAGATGACAAGACTCTACCCAAGCTGGAGAGAAAGCGGCTGCAGGTGGAGCAGGCGCCCCACAGCAGCCCAGGGGCTAAACTGGTGAAGCTGGCAGACAAGCTGCACAATCTGAGGGACCTGAATCGCTGCACCCCAAAGGGTACGCGCCCCAGCCTGGTCTGAGGGAAAGGGGAGGAATATTCACATTCTGGAAGCACCGGTTGGTCAGTTCCCCTGAAAAAAAGCCTGGGCGTTCTTATTAATTCCCCAAACTAATCCTACTAGACCACTCCGATCTTCTTTTATACAGGAGAAATACGATAGCTGGGCCAGGGGGAAGTTTTCAGGGCAAATCAGGAACTCATCTCAAGGCCCTGCCCCAAGTCCTCCAGGAAGTGAGCACAATCCAGAGCTGTCTTGGACGTTACGTGAGCAGTTTCCTGTCTGTTCTTGTGCAGGATGGTCCGAACAGCGAGTCCAGGAATACTTCGAATGGGCAGCACAGGTGGTGAAGGGGCTTCAGGGAACAAACCGGCAGCTGGAAGAGGCTCTAAAGCAGCTGCTTAAGGAGCGGGGGCTGACACTCTAAGATATTAGAGGCCCAAAACACTTGTTTTTTTCTCACGCGGAAGGTTTCCTGCCAACTAAGCTGAGCCCGGGATTGTGGGAATCAGATGCAGCCCATTCATTTCTAATGCATTCGCTGCCTGTCTCCCTCGGGTCCGATTGCTATTTTGCGTGGTGGAATCAGGCCCCGCAGGGATTTGGGCTTATGTAAACACTAGTTCCTGAGTCATTATGGAAAATAAAGCATTTGGGGTAAAGATTTAAGTCGCTGCTGCTCCTTCTCCAGCTTTCCGGGTGGGGAACCGGTAGGCGCCAAACCTGCCCTTTATCAGGGCAGGGTCCCAATTGTGTTCCTCCTGGGACAGCTCCTCAGGCTGAGGGCCTCAGCCCCTCTAAGCCTGGCTTCCTTATGAGTGAGCTAGGTTGTGTAATTATCAAGGTTAGATGATGCGACGTGCCTGGTGGAGCCTGACACGTAGGTGCTCAAAAAATGGTAGTAGTCTACCTTATTAAGAAACTCGGACGGGATGACATGTTGGAAAGGAGTGCCACTTGCTTACTGGCAGCGCTTGCTGAGCATGGGAGAGACCCTAGCAGCCATATGATAGGGCCAGTGGGGGACTGCGGATCCCTCAACCCCAGATCGCAGCGGACACTGGCCGCGGTTCATAGCCCACTGCGGGTCTCAGCCCCGTCACACTGTAGGGTCCTTTGGTTGCTGAGCGACAGGAATTTCCGGGCCCCTCCGGAAGTGGTCCCGCGGCGTCCCCGCCCATGGAGCCCGGCGGCGGGCGGGGCCTGGGAGAGGGGCGGTGCTTCTGGCGTCCGCGTGGGCGGGTCACACGTGATAGGTTTTTGGCAGCTGCCCAGCGGCTGAGGCTTATTAAGTGCCTTTGAAAAGGGTACATCTGGGGGATGAGGAAATTGTTAGGTCAAAGGCCGCTTCGTTCTGGACCATGATGGTTACCTACCCAAGAAAGGCCCCAGTGCAGTTCACTGTGGGAAAAAAGATGAAGGGCAACAAAAAGGTGATTTTAAAAGAAAACGAGGTTCAGGACGGTCCCAGATGACGGATAGACAAAGTTCAAAAGTTTAATCCTCTTAAGGCAGACCAGGATTTGGTACATTTTGGAGGATTTTGGTTTTAATTTTTTTAAAAATTAGTTTGGGGGGGCGGGATTACAGGATTTTTAAACTTTCTTCCACTTTTTAAAACAATACTTACCAAAGTTTTAAAATTAATCCGCGGTTTTTAAGTGGTTTAAAATTAAAGTTTCAGGACATTTAACAAACATTAATCCCTTTTGTACCTTTAGACTGCAAAGAGAAAGAGATTGTCACAGGGGCTCCGTGTTTTACAAAACCTTTCACGTGTGTTACCTCGTCTGGTCTTTATAATAACCAGATGAGAGAGGCAGGGTGGGATTTTTATTCTCATTTTACAGAGAAGTAGTATGAGGCTGGGAGATGTGAGAAGACTTGTTGGCGACAGAATCAGGACCAGAATCCCTCTGGCTTTTTCCACACTGCCAGGCCTCTTTAACCAGACAAGGATGACCACTGTTGAGGTCAGCTCCAACCACTGCATACAGTAAAGATCAAGTATGAAGTGGCCAGTGGATCTGGATTATCAGTGTGAGGCCTCCCTAGATAACCTGTTTTGATTTGAGCCAATATAGTAGATATTTTTTAAATTCAATAGCTCTTTTTAAACAATCAGAATCTTACAGAAAAGTTGGAATTACAGGATAAGTAACTTTTTTCCCTGAACCATTTGAGATTAATTTGCTGACCTGATGCCCTATCACCCCTAAATCCTCTAGTATTTAGACAAAAAAGTTCTCCTATATAACCAAACTACAACCATCAACATCAGGAAATTAACATTAATACATTACTACCTTAAGTCTGATGATAGAGCACCTCACAATTTACACGTGTGTTTACTTGGGCTTTTGCTGGGCTGGGAACCAAAGGTTTTAATTCTGGCCTAGAATTAGAATGATAACAAAGAGATTCCTAGCCACCCTGGGGATCTGCCTGTCCCTTCTAACAGCTGTTATATGAGAAGTGAGAGCCAAGGATCTGCCAGATTTCCAGGTTTTCTTTTTCCCTTCTGCCCTCCCTTACTCACTTTCTCTTTTTTCCTTAATACTATAATTGCATTTTTTTCAATAATTTTTTAAAATTACATTTCTATATTTGCATAAGGGTATAGAGATTAATAGTAGTCTAGTGGTTAAGATTTGGTGCTTTCACCGACACAGCCTGGGTTCATTTCTGGTCAGGGAACCGAGCCACCCGTCTGTGGGTTGTCATACTGTGTGGCTGTGATGCTGAAAGCTCTGCCACCTGTATGTCAAACACCAGCAGGGTCCCCCACGGTGGGCAGGCTTCAGCGGAGCTTCCAGACTAGACAGACTAGGGAGAAGGACGTGGTCTCCCACGGCTGAAAAAATGGGCCATGAAAACCCTACGAACAGCAGCGCTGGAAGGTGAGAGGATGGCACAGAAAGACTGGGCAGGGCTCTGGTCTGCTGTACACAGGGTCCCTGGGAGTCGGAACTGACTCCACAGCAGTAACAACAATGGAGATTAATGTAACAAACGTCTGTATTCCCACTCAGAATCTATCCCTTTGTCATATGTGCATCAGATCTTTTTATAGATATATACACGAAAGACAGTCCTTTGATCCCATCCCCATTTTTCAGTGTCCCCTTCCACAATGTTAACATTATTATAAATGTGAGGTGTCTATTTCCAGCCAATTTTTCTGCTTTTGTAAATTTATAGATTTTTTTGTGAATGCATAGTATTTGTTTCTTAAAAATGTTTTAAATTATGGTAAAATATATCATTAAAAAATTTATCATTTTAACCATTTTTAAGTTACAGTTCAGTGGCAAGAAGTACAGTAACATTGTTGTACAACCATTACCACCATCTATCTCCAGAACACTTTCATCTTGCAAAACTGAACTGTATACCCATTAAACACTGACTCCCCACTCCCCTCTCCCCCCAGCCCCTGGCAACCTCCATTCTACTTTGTCTCTATGAATTTGACCACTCTAGATAGCTCATATAAGTAGAATCATATAGTATTTGTTCTTTTGTGACTGGCTTATGTCTTTTTTTTTTTTTTT